AGTATATATATATATATATATATGTGTGTGTGTGTGTGTGTGCATTTGATGTTGTACCTTTTCCTTAATCTCATGTCAACTTGAATTGCATTATTTAAATTAATATTTAAAAATATATACAATTATTACTTCTAATTAAACAGATCACTCAAACATTTCAAAATTTTTATCGAATTACATCAGCCTGGAATGACTATGAAGCAGGAAGTACATTCATCGCATTACATTGAGGATATTGCAAAATCAACGTTCATGTAATACAATGTATTCAAGAGAACAATCCAAATAAAGTGCGCCACCTAGTCTTCGGAGATTCAATACTGGAATCGTTTTAGATGCTAACCATCAAGCAGTCAATAAAACATTTCACTACAAGTCAGTAAATAAAATATTTTAAATTAGTTTTTTTTTCCATCTAACCAAAAATATATTCTGTACATTTGATTCTAATGGAAGATCCTTAGATTTTTTTATTTGATTATCAAATAAAATAAACACCAAATATAGAACATGAACATCTGATAAATCCACAGACGTAAGACTATATGCTTAAGCAGGACTCCTAAAGGAAATACGTTTTTTTTTTCATTCAAGAGTATCCATACGTAATAACGGATACATACTTGAACAAAAATCCATGCTTTTTAATTTAACTACATAAATTAAATGTATTATTAATAAGCACTTTCAGATTTCTCTTGTTTTTTTCTATGCTGTGGGAAATGAGAGCCAAATGAATATAAGGGAGGTGATGATTTTACAAGCATATCTGCATTCCAAACAGACTATGTAAAAGAAATATCATACTATATCAGACAGAGCTGATGTAGTTAGATGCAACAGGCAACGAATAAGGCTTAATGTCAGGCAGCTAAAAGTTTTACAAGGTTGGTCATTAAGCTTCAGTCTTCTCTTGGATTTTATGAGTGTTTTGTAGGCAGCATAGTTATTCTTTCAAAGCCTGGAAACCCAAAGCTCTTGACTAACTGATATATCAGTGCAATACAAAGCTGTCTGCTCTGAAAAGAATACATTCCATGTTAAGACTTGTGAAAGCACAGATCGAGAACAGTCAGAATTCCTGAATCACCCGGAAGTGATTCTCGATGGATGCCGGCTCATCCTCAAAGTGCAGTTTCTGGCTAAGACAAGCGCCCAGATCCTCCAGAGTCTTTATAAAGTGGCGGTGCTCTCGCCCAACCCACACCCTCATTGGGTCGCATACCTCATATGGAGTGACATGGGCATGGATAGCCACCCCACTGGAGGCCAGCTCACCCAGAGCACACTTATCGGTCACCCACGTCTCACTGCCACCAGGGTGTCCTCCATCCAGCCAGTACATATCTGAAACGCTGTCCAGAAACAGCCTCAGTTCTGGATCTGCTCGCACTCCAGCCAGCTCATACACTATCTGATTGAGAACAACGCATCCTTTACTGAAGCCCACTATGGTGAGGGTGAAACCTGCAGGCAGGGGGCCAGGGGTGGATGTACCACTAAGAGGGGGTAAAGGGTTTGGGAGGCCAGCCCGCTGCATGCTGTGACCCAGGAGTGCCCTCAGGTGGCGAACGGCTCCGTAGTCTGGAGAGTGTTCTGGTGCTCCAAATAGGTTGCTCTCTACAAAGTTCTGATAGCAGCTGAACTTGTGTAGGTACATTCGGGATGCGCGGATGACCCAGATATGGCAGCCAGGGAAGCGTTGGCTCAGGGTGAGGGTGACACGCTCCAGACTCCAGGACTGCCATGGGGCAGCGTCAGGCTGATTTTAAAATATATTAAAATAGAAAACAATTATTTTAAATTGTAATTATATTTTGCAATGTTACTGTTATTACTGTATTTTTTTTTGTAAATACAGTCTTGGTAAGCATAAAATACCTTTTTCTCCCCCTCAGAAACATTACCAACCATTTTTTACGTTTTCTTTTCTCAAAATAAAGGCTTAACCAGAATATAAACTTGGAAAATAATGTGCATGTGATATGCGAACAATAAAATATGAGCATCACTCCAAGTCTAGAGGAATTCAGAAATCCTCAGAAACCTGGCATATGTGCGATAACTAAACAGACTTCTGCAGAATGTGTCGTGGGCCTGTTTTCAATGTCTAATGAAAAACTACATTTAGAGATCCAACCCAGTCGCAACAGAAGCTAAACTGTATCAAATGACTTTAGTGAATAATCAAAGAGGTGTTTTACAGGGGGTCCACAGTTTAGTACAGTCTTTTTTTTTTACAAACTAGCAATAGGCATATTTTGGATCAAATCAAAAACTGTGTAAACAATATCTAATTCCTGACTATGTTGAGCTCTTTCCTAAGGCATTATTGATTAAAAGGCCATTTAAAGCAAGGCATGCAGTCAGTGCTACTGATGACATGCATGCACCAACCTGAATGTCTCCAGGAAAGAAGACTACGTGATCGTTTCCTTGCTGCAGATCCTCTGTTTCGTTGTCGCATCGTCTCTGCGTTTCCGTGACAGGTCTTAGGAGCAGAACATCATTTACGCGGTTTTGATCGTAACCGGGGACTGAAGTCAGGCGGCGCAGCGCGGGCGCAGCAGCAGAGGTCCCGGACCCGCACAGCTCCGCCGCGGCGGTCATCTTCCTCGCTATAGCAGCTAGCGATAAACAAGCCACAATTGATCGGATACTTCCCATAAACTAAAGGATTATGTAGCGGCGACTGCGCGACCTGCAGCGTTAAGACTGAAACCATCACTGCAAAACCAGAGCAAAGAATAACGCTGCATGATCTGAACTAATCCGGTGCTCATTCAGCCGTTAAATTTGAAGCGTAGAATAAACCGAAAGGTTCAGGATAATGACATATGTATGGCGTATAATTTGTTCATATCAAACGCCGCCGAGTGGCATTTACGGGAGCGTCAAACTGTGACAACGATGCGCATGCGCGGAGTCCGCGTTCGTCAACAGCGGCAGCGCCGATACATAACGCATTTGGATTG